CCCCCCCCCCCCCTCTACTGCTCGGGGGGCACCGTGAAATTCAAAGAGTCTACCCACAAGCAGGACAGCAGGACCACGCAACAACAAGCAAGACAAAATAAGCGCGACAACGAGGCGCGGGTTTCTCCGGATATGCTAAACAGACCACCAGTGTTATCGAGCTGGCCGCTGGCCGGCAGCCGGTAGGACGCGAACGCCCTTCGTTCGTCCACTGCCAGCCTCTTGAAGGAATCAGAACTGGGATGAGTTCGACATTATTTCTGGTTGATGATCACTGCGTGCACCTGGCGACCAGGTTGTTGGTAATCTCTCAACATGATGTGCATGGTGAGTACTCATGTTCGATTGTCTTCCTACACATGACGAAGTGTGTTTTTTCAGATAATATTTAGATACTTCCAAGTACTTTGCAGTCAATTGTTCTCTTCTCATGATGTTTAGTACGACGGCGTAGACGAGTGGAAAGGAACTACAACGAAATTGATGTACTGCAGTGAGCTAACTACTACAGTACATTGGAGTCTCGTGAGAAAATACTATTAAGGAAGCTCGTGTCATCAGAGAGTCAACTGTACTCATTAGCAGCAACATAGATAGCGGTTGGGTAAACACGAATTTTCAGCCACCCTACGAAGGAGACTGATGAGGGCTGGGGTATATCTCGAAGATACCTGAATCAATTGCGGAACGTGGGCACAGTAGTAGGACACGACAGCAAAGCCCAGGGACACGCCGCTGCTCCAACTTCTTGATAGGTTCGAGAGTCTGTTCCCGAAAGACGCCAAGGTATGTATGATATGCATCCAGTGGAGGTCCCTCAATAGTGCCGGTATGCGCCCAGCGCATCGACCGGCGCTGTTCAGAGTGACCGGCGCTATCGGAATAGTGCCTCAATAGAGTCACAAAACCGCCGCTGTTGAGGGCTCAGAAACCCTCAATATCGCCGGTTGTGGCACTACTGTTGAGGGGTTGTGGTCATGTGGCGCAGCGATTGCGCTTTGCTTTACGGAGCCAACATATTCACAAATTGAAGAACCGATTGAGTGGTGACGTGGGCGGACTGCTAAGGATAAATTATGTGCCTGGACTGCCTAGAGTTGTTGTGTTCACTAAATGATAATCTAGATGGCGGCAGCATGCGGATCTTCCTGCCTCACGCTGTGCAACCGGAAAAGTTGCTGTTACAGAGAGGACTCCGCGACAGCGAAATGAGGACACAACTGCACCCAACGTACCATTGAATGGAAAAAATTCCACAGTTGCAAAGCATCGAACAACAGCAAAGTAAAAATACAGATGTGGACGAGACACGTGCAAAAGTACTCTTTCGCCTTTCACCCAAGTAGCGAGAAACAACAAGAAACGACCGTGAAAGAAGCGCCACATGCAGATAATCAGACACAAAACCAGCTATGCGGGTAGAGACAGGACGGATTAAACGCCAGAAACGAAACAACGAAAATAACGGCTTTGACTACACCCCCGCGTTTTCTCCCCTCCTCGTTCCGCTTCAATAACTTCGGTCACAACAAATTCCCTCAAGTCTGTCTGGCATGGTGCGCCTCTCGCAGAGCTGTAGGGTCTGTAGATGCACGTGTGTGCCCCTACTGGTGTGTACCCCTACTGGTGTGTACCCTCCGCACGGCAGAGGCGGGGTATGTGGTTTGTGTTTGTGTTAAAAAAAAAAAACGGCGCTATTGAGGGGTGTAGAAGTGCCCAAACCGGCGTTTTTGCGGGCCGCCCTCAACAACACCGGTGTGGCGCTATTGAGGGCCCTGGCTGTGCCCAGCGATTTCACCGGCGCTGAAGAGGGCCACCGGCGTTACTCAAACGGCGTTTTTGAGGCCCCCCCACTAGTTGCAATCAAACATGGGCAGAAAGTGGGGCTGCCACTCAAAGATGAGAAAGTTATTCCGGTCGCCTGTACGGTGGTTTGAGCACCGGCACAATCCGTGAGCACCACAAAGAGTTGGTGATTTGGTGGGTTCCCGTTTTGAGTCCTTGATTGAGCTGTGTCATGAGGATATCCGCCATGTGGCGACTCCACCGTACAGGCGAACGGAGTAACATTCTCATCTTTTAGTGGCAACCCCACTTTCTGCCCATGTTTGACTGCGACTCCATTCCTTGGTGTCTTTCGGAAACAGGCTCTTGAAGATTCGGAAACAGGCTCTTGATATAAATAAGTTCGAGCAGTCTCTCGCGTTTTCCTGGGCTCAGCTGTCCTATCCTGGCTGTGCTCACGTCCGCCGTTGGAGTCCTCTGCATACTCTCCTGATTTTGTCCCGAGTGTGGTTCTATTCTCCTGGGCTCGGCGACTGTCTTTTCTGGTTGCGGTTCTTTCAGTGGCAGCATGCGCTCCACATCATCGCTACCGCCTGAGCGACGCGTGTTGTCTTCGTGATGGTTGCGGGCGATTGTGATTTGTTGACCACCGTGATCTTCATCCGTCGGCCCGGGCTCCACCACTAGACTCCCTTTGACATGCCGAGGGTTGCCCCCCCTTCCAGTTCGAAGGGCTCAATCGGAGAGACCAACACTAAATTTTTAACATTCGGCATCAGTCCCTTCACTTGTGCGTCCATCTCTACACTCACACTGCCTGGTACCTGCGTCTCACGGTCGACGTAGATGGGCCATTGTAGAGTTCCCTCATCTTCCCACGCCGTGGATCCTAAGTCCAGAGCTTCGATTGCCAGGACTTCAGACGGTTGGGAGTCCCTGACCTCATCGTCCTCTGGCCTCCACTCCGCGGTGTAAAACGCTTGTCTTGACGTGTCCTTGTCCTCCGGTTCCACATCCTGTCCATGTTGAGATTAGCTTTCACTCTCTAAGCCTTCAGTCATGGCAGCAATGGTGTTCTGGACGACGTGGGCGACGGCCGAAACCATCCTGGTCCCGTCCCTCCGAAGTCGAGTGTGCTCCTGTATCGACGCATGAAGGACCATGCCCAAGATGAGGCCTACCGGGAGTCCTTTCACCACCCTTACGCTCACACCGAAAGTCTCGTCGATCGATGGGAATACCAAAAAAATGCACGCAGTCCCCAGGATTGTCATATGGGGCACATTGCTGTCGCTCGGGTTGGCTGCTCTCAATCGACCTCTTCCCTTCTTAGACACCATGTTCTTTCCTCCATACTGTCTCCTCTCCACGCCTTGGATGAACGCCGAGGACGCATAGTTGCTTCCCCCCGCACCAGAATCGACTAGAACATTAACGGTTTGACTCCGTTGGCGCGTTTGCTTGTCCCAAAGGTGTACTTGTACCCAGGCCTGTTTTTGATGCCCTAGCCGGTGGAAACATCGTACTAGTGTGAACCACAATGAATGGCAGTCTCGGCCTCCTTTTGTGTGTTGCTGAGCTCCCGCGTGTGATAAACATCTCGTGTGCTCTCCAGGAGACTCTCTCCCAGGGCCCACTCTCCCGGTTGATCCTCCGTAGTCGCCTCCTCCGGGTACTCGTACAGGTATTGGTCCCCTCAATCGTGGCGAGTTCCATTGCTGCTGCAATCTTCTTCTACTTGGCATACATTCCCCACTGCACGTGTTCGTGACTGCAGATTGCAAACAGGTCTTGGAGTCCATGATGTAACGCTTGATGGCGTCCTCCGAAGCGTCCGGTCTCGGCGCATCCTCCGGAAGCTCCCTCCCAAACACCCAACGCTGCGTCCTTTTGTTACTGCTCCCGCTTCCCGTTGTCACTCCCGCGAAGAAGGTGTGTCCTGACTGCCGCTGAATTCTTCGGCGGTGCGTGTGATCCAGACGACGAGGTTGGGACGCGTGCTGAGTCTCCTGTCCTACCTATTACAGGGCCTTTTGCTCGATTCTTGGTCTCCCACGATGGAGGTCTACGAGCGTCTCCCCCCCCCACACGATCACTAGGTGTGCGCGGTGAAGTGCTCTACGCGTTGTTGCCGTGTCATCCACAGCGCGTAGAGCCGCCGGTATGACATGCCTCTTGTGAGATAGTCGGAAACCTACAGGGGCGCCTCCCCCGTCTCCCGTCCCGTGGGCGATGCGCTTCTTGATGTTTTCCACAACGTGATGACGCTGTCTACCTCGTTAGTGCTCAACACTGGAGAGTGTGGCTGTGGCCCCTAATGTCCACCGTCCAACCCTGGGTCCGTGCATAGGTCCCGTTGGAGGTAGAAGCGGTCCTTCGTGAAGAAGACCTGGCTGCTGTTGTTGGTGATGGCCAATGACTCCCCCGACGCACGAGGTTGAGGGTGGAACCCGTGACCCTGGGAAAGTTGAGGAAAACCTCCAGGTGGGAAGAAGCCTCTTGACTGATTAAGCGGTTGGTGGAACCACCCCCCCAGCTCGTAGAACCCACCGGGGCTGGTGCGGAGACCAGTCGAAATGATGCCCCCGTGCTGGTGATGCGGAGGGGATCCTCCTGGCTAGCGAAGGTGTGACCCTCCTTGCTGCTGGTGGTGCTGGTTGATGTTCATGTGGTCCTTGCCTTTGACGACCGGGGAAGGCGGTCACAACTCGGTGCTCCTGTGTCTCCAGTGTGTCGATGTTGGACTCCCGATGCTTGCGTGTTTATTTTTCTGTCTGTCCTTTGCGGCCGTCTTTCTGTTTGCGCTGCACGTCTCTTGGTGTTCGGTTGTCGTTGTGGTTGTTTGTTTGTTTGTGTGGACTGCTGTTTGGTGTGCGTCGTGCAGTTTTCAAGATTCTCCAAAAATCAATATCGTATCCCATCCGGATCAACCAAGACACATGTGAGTCACGAGACATTTAGAAACATGGGATGGTGAATATCTGAACTCTCGACTTCGCGATTAACAGTCGCACACACAGGGAACGCCCAGCCAAATTCCAACAAGCAAGATACCGCTCATCAAAACCCCACCAGATTGAAGTGACGTGGTGCAGTAACATGACAAACACTCAACCACAACGGGTCTCGTGTCCAACAAGAAGCGAAGCGCCGTACCGACGTTATTATGAAGTGCCTCAACGCTTATGGCACTCCGAGAACCTCCCTGTCATTGGACGACAGTTTTTTTTCCGATTGTGACAGTCTCTTGCTGGCGGTGCCTCCCTGTTTTCCACCTCCTCTGTGACAGGCAAAGCGCAGAGCCAAGGAGGGTCCAACGGGACGACCTATTGTTGAAGTCCATCAGAGAAGCGCTAGAGAACGGCAAAGGAGAGACAGCGGATTACGTCCTCCACGATCAAGGTCTCCTGTGGTTCTCGCCACGGGGTAAGAGACATGTTGTAGCTCCAGCTCGTAAGCTTGTCTCCGGAGTACTGGCTCTGGCACACGGCACCTTCGGACACCCGGGTATCGCTCGCACCACGACCATCATTGCGGACCAAGTACCACTGGGCGAAGCTGAAGAAGTATGTATGAGAATATGTGCTATCATGCAGATGCCCCATGCGGAAGTGGCCGTGGAGCAAACAACTTCACAGGGTTGTCTACTTGCGTCCGTGGGAAGTACTAGAGATGGACATCCTGGATATGATGGTGGCTTGTCACGAACGCAACCGGTTTTTACAACTTGACATGTTGCCTACACGCTTCTTGCGTCTGCGGGAAGTACTAGAGATGGACATCCAGGATATGAAGGTAACTTCTCACGAAGGCAATCCAAGTTATGTTGTTTGCTCCACGGCCTCTTAATACTGGCTGCCTTCTTGAGAAGTTACCTTGATGACCAGGAGGTCCATCTCTAGTACTTCCCACGGACGCAAGTAGGCAACCTTGTGAAGTTGTTTGCTCCACGGCCTCTTCGGCATGCGGCATCTGCATGACAGCCGATGACCAGCAAGTCCAGCGTCGATCGAGCCACCAGGTTCCTCTTTGCTTTCCCGCTACCCACGAAGGAGACTCTAGGAGTCAGCAGGAAGCTACTGGAGCTCATCTTCCCCAGACTGAGGACTGGCCACAGACTCCGTCGTAGCGGCTCCCCTCTATCGTTATTGAACCGACGGGTGGCTCAAGGCACAAAAGGAACATCGTCGGCAGGGGTGTGGGAGTATCAAGGCAAGTGTCAAGATGGCACCGTGTCTTCCTGGCTCACCAAAGACGGGGTTAGGGGCAGTTTTTCACCTTCGCAACTGGATGTCTTTCACGTCATGTGGGAAGACTATCGCGGCAGAGCCACAGCGCCGAGACCCGCAGGATCACCTTCGTGAGGAGAAAGGGAAGTAACCACTTGGACCGAAGCTCTGGAAGAATTCTCCTATGGGACCGAAGTAAGAAGGGAGCTCACAGACCAACAAGGCAATATCGTCCTTCGTAGAGGGCGAGTCTGCGACTTTTACGACCCGTATTGGAGAGTGGAATTCAGCGACAACGATTGTGAAGAACTCAAACGGGAGTTACGACGAGGCATTGACGTGGCCACAAGACTTCCCCCGTTGACGGCTCAAGAATACTGAAGTCGTACACTGCCGGCAGCTCCCCGCTGTGTATGCGGGAAGGTGGGGGGGGTGTCGCGGTAGTGTGATGAGGACCGCACGAGGTCGTCTTGTTCAATTCAAAATCTTATCAGTTGAAGTTCGAGATCGCCTTCGTCAGTTGAAGACAGCCTTTGGCAGTGGAAGAGCATCTTCGGCAGTGGAAGATCACCTTTATCAGCTGAAGATCGTCTTCGACAGTTGAAGATCGTCGTCATCAGTTGAAGAGCATATTCTTCAATTAAAGACCGTCTTCGTCAGGGAGACCAGTCTACGACGCTAAACCAGTAACGGCCGTCGTTCGAGGATGATGATTCCGAACATGTAACATCGACATGGACCTCAAGACCGGGATCCGCCCTTCACTCTTAAAGGTTTAAATGCCCTTGCAGGTCTAATCTAGGAAGGGCGGCACCCTCCTTTGTTTAAGTCTATTTTCCCGGCGTGGTATGACCTGGCGAGGGAGAAGCAAGTGCTGTGTCGCCTCCTTAACATTTTGTGTTTTTCAACACATATATACTGGGGGGGGTGTAGCAGCAACGTAGCGCTTGGGTAAAAACGATTTTTCAGCCACCCCGAGAAGGGGATGAATGAGGGCTGGGGTATATCTCAAAAGTATGCCTGAATCAACAGTGGAATTCCCACCTTGTTCCACCCTACGCGTGGATCTTGTCACGGCCCTTACCAAAGAAGGAATCTAAGCCAATTGCAATCAGCTGAGACTGTATGTTGATGTTACTTAGTCAGATCCTAGCTACCAGCTGTTGGAGCAGCTAGCGTCGGACAAACCGCGGGATACCCAGAATAAGCCCTACCGTTGGAAGCTGGAGTAGCTAGGTTTCGGCACCGTTGTTCTAGGTCATCAGCGATGTTGATCACCCATGCATGAGCTAACCCCGAGCTACCCCCAGTAATAGATGAACCCTAGCCAGCGGATATCAAAGCTAAAGTCAAGGTAATCAACCGTACTAATGACTAAATAGCTGCAACTGTTTCACAGGAATTGTCGATATAAGCCCAGTATCTAGCCGAAATTTCTTGAGAGTTTCATGAGAGTCTCACCTCAGCTTCTTTCGGACGCGAAAGAAATACAACGGACACCACCATTCACAAGCGCTCGCGTGTGCCAAGGTGCGTAGTTCGCGTTAACAAGCGACCACACAAACCTCGGCCTTTGATTTGACCGTGCGCGGTGTCCTATCCACCACGCCTGAAAAGCGATCACAAGGAGAACAACTTCACCAACTTTGGACGTATGCACCCTCAACGCAGATACTTCTAGTTTACAACATATTTCACATACTATGTGAAAGTAGATCCCTTCGTGAAGTCAACATCTAACTCGCGACTGAAACACTCGCACATGTACGTGGAAGGAACGAACACCATTGCAGCACTAAACCTTGACGAATACGAGGTTTCGGAAAAAACCACAACTGACGGCCTTTTCATGTCTCATGTACACCGTGATACGCCGAACCAAGTTATGCAATGCGTGACCGAAACAAGAAGGGAAAATACGACTGTACAATGAACGGCTCTAGACAACGAAACACAAACTTCACAGGCCAAAGATATGTGCTTACGCTAATCGCTTGCGTTTTAAACGTCCTCTTGTGGATTCTGTTGTGTGACTATGTCAATCGTTCGCTGGGTGAGATTCTCTGTAACTTTGACCTCATACGACACTCAGCCCCGACCTAATGCCAGATTCCCCTACAGTAACAAACCCATTTTCAGTACTACGAGTACTGGAACGCACACACGCGTTGGGGACGATGGTTTAACCATGCTGGCAAACAGTTTACTTGTCCCGACCTGGCCATGCTCGAGGTCATTTCACTTGTCGCGACCAGGCCGCACCGTTCCTTCTTCAGAGGTCAATCTCCAGCAGGGAACCGGTCTTCGATTCTCCGTACGGCTGTTGACCTTGGGGGCTAGCACTTGGCACCGCTGTTGCAGTTTCAAGCCTCGAGTCGACGTCGTCCTCGTTCTCTCTGCGGCTGGAGGTTTCCCTAGCGGCGCCAGTCTCAGGCGGCCGTGTCGGAGGGAATTTTCGTGGACCGTAATCGCTGCTGTGTTCCGGCCCGCATGCTCCGGCAGAGTCGCTACTGTTGCAGCTGCTCGTGGGGGGGAGAACCCCATCGCGATGGCGCCACAGCCACTTCTCCTCGTAGACGGAACTGCTCGATGATGAACACGGGGTGTGAGTCCGGGCCTGGCCGTCACTGTCGTGCTCCCTTTCGGTCGCTCCCGCGGCAGCGGCGACGGCGGCGGCGGCGGCGGCGCTGGAGTACGGCGGGTCTTCGTCTGGGTTCTGTCGGTAGGGGCTGAGCAGAAGAGCCTCGTTGTCAAACTCCCGCGCGCTGCGGCAGCCGCCGCCGCCGCTACCGCTGCCACCAGCGACGGTGCTACTTTCCTCTCCGTTGTCTTGGAAGGCAAGTCGATAGCCGCTACCATCACGTCCACCGTCACGCCTTCCTTCGCCTGAACCGTCGTCATTACTGTCGGAAGAATTTACGTCTTGCACCCAAGACCCCCACTTCTCAGAAAAGGCGTCAGCAAGCCGTCCGCTTCGGCCTCCCTCGGTATTGGTTGAGCCGGCACTCGCGACCGCCGGCCCTATGGCTGCCGGTACTTCTGCGTCCGGCGTGACCAGTTCCGAGGCGGACAGGATACTCAGCGCGTCTTCGTAGTCGTTAGTTGACGGGGAGGATAGGCCCCTGTCGTTACCCCCGTCTTCTCCGTCCCTTAGGCAAAGCTGTGGCATCGATTGACGGTGATCACTTCCGCCGCCACCGCCGCCGCCGCCACCGCTGTTATCGCCGCCGCTGTCACCGCTGCCGAACCACCCCGACGGTCGATGAGGACGCAGAGCCCTCTTGTGCGGGCTGTGAATGACGAGCTCGATCGTGTCGCCCTCGCTGGAAACAACGGCGTTTGAGTCCACTCCGGTGAGTGGCATCGGGACCGGTGTCGGGCTGTCGGGGGTAACGCTCACCGGTGCTTGTTCGTGGCGGCGGAACGAGGAAAAAGGACGGAGCACTCGTTGTAGAAAGCTTGAAAAGGGGGGGTCGGGAGGGAAAGCAAGGGCATGCAAGGAACAGGGTTAGCCTCGGGTGTCGAGCGGCGGGCTGAAAGCAGCGCGCCGAGAGAGAGGCCAACCCACGATGATGCTTCAAATAGTTTCTGTACGCAGCAGTGGGCTGCCTGCGAAACAAACCTGCGCGGCATCAGGTGTCTTCACCTGTCTGCCAGCGCGAAGGGCGTGGGGGGCATGTGTTTCATCTATGACTCCAACATGCCCGTTGCACTGCTGTACCTTTGGCATCGACAATTGCCAGAAGCTCCCTCATGCTACAAACGAGAAGTTCAATAACACGCAACTGCCGACCCGCGTGACCTGACCTCCTTGTCACAGCAGATACGCGCTCCCACGCCCCTGGTGCTCGTCCTTGTCGTCCCCCTATCCCAAGGATAAAGGCTTCGTCCTCGTCGTACTCGAGGAAACCCTTCTTTTCGTTTCCTTGCCGCCGTCCAGCAGCTTTATCTCCGCCACAGCCACCGGATTGTCGCTGGCCCCCGGCGCTCGCTCCTTGACTGTCGTCGATCTCGAAGTCGCTGCTGGTGGAACAGGTATCCTGTCTCGTGAGCGTGTGTGCGCTGGACCGCGCGGATGACGCTCCCAGCGGAGATCGGGCCCGGGGTGGCGTAAAGAGAGCGCTCCTCTGTTTCTCGAGGCTGGCGGTAACACCATCATTGTTGACGTCCTTGGAAATCGGTCTCAGACACCTCTGGGAGCAGAGGCCGATGAAGAACATCGCTCCCATCACGTAGATCAGAGATTGGCAAACCCTGCAGAGGCGTTTGGAGAAAGATTGTGTTGGGGGAGACGAGTTGAAATACAAGGGGAAGAATGAGAGTGATGAAGTGGTGATGCCGATATGGACAAGGCGGGGAAGGTTGGATGCAGGGAGATAGGTGGGTCTGGGGAGAGCGGAAGACAGAGGATCGCGGGTTTGGAGAGGGCGGTGTGCACGTGACGTGTGCACCACTCGCAGCTCCGTCCAGAGCATGTCTCCTTAAAGCGCTGAGGTACTACTGCGGTGCTACCACACAACACTGCTGGAAAAGTCCCATGCAAACATTTCTCCACATCACGCGTGCGACTCCTCAAGTCATCGCCGCCTAAAAATCTTGCAAGCTAGGTATCTATAATGAACACACGGAAGCGACGAAGTTCGCTGCATCGGACCTCGATACGTGGCACCAGTCGCCGAGTGGATCGTCAAGGATCTTGAATATCTCTCCCGACTCGCCGAGCAATCGGCCGAGCCCAAGCTTCAGCACGCAGCTCCCCGTGGCCGCCGTCGCCACCACGAAACCCTTGGCGTGGTGCTCTGACGGGAACACCAACACAGCAAAGGTGACCTGGGAGTAAACAAAAAAAAGAAGGATGGTCACATTAGGAGGCAGTGCGAACCAACAAGAGTGTTTCTGGTCTCGACTTGCGATGTGCGGTGGTCATGTGGGGTTTGCGTTCAGATCCCTACAACGCTCTGCGAGACAGGGGTGTTACCTCACCGTCAGAACGAAAAAAATGGCCCAGCAGACGTACCGCGACCCGATGTCCGATATCATGCCGATGTCGATGAGCTGGTTCAAGAGAGAACACAGCAATAGACGCGCGAATTGAAAAAGTATTTGGAATGGGAACTAACGACCGAACGAGGCTAAGCTCATATTGTAGCGTACGACACCTCAACACCAGTCTGGCTGAGAGACGAGAGTCACACACCAGTTGATGCCGCCGCGAGCTTTCTGTAGCTGCCGTTGCTGCTGCTGCTGCTTCTACCGCTTAGCACAGGATGAACACACGTCTCAAGTCGGCTGCCCGCTTTCAACCAGTACATCAAAGGTCTAGAAGCACAAGAGCATGTCGAGCACAATTCTTGGCCACCAATCTAAAACAAATGCCTCAGTTTGGTGGATGGCATCGCATACCACGTACCACAAAGAGTGCAGGAACCGCGAGCCCGCCCACAGTGTTCCATCGGGCCATAGCTCGATGGTGAAGCGCGAGGTACCCGACCAGCATCCCGAAGGTGACTGCACCCACAAAGGCCATCTGCGAGTAATACGGAAGGCACGGGGAAGGGAAACTGAGGGGAAAGGGGTAGCAGGAGAGTCGTACAGAACTCGTTGCCGTGATCAACTTGGGCACTATTGTCCTTCTCACATGCGTTTTGTCCCAGCAAGTACACACCCGTTGTTTTCTGTTTCAAGGCGTCGAACCAGACGATGTGCAACCATAGTTGACGATGTTTCTTTGAACGCAATGTACCATGTGTCGACGATGAGACCACAGATTCTGATTAAACCCTGTTCATTTCATGGTACAGACACATTGACCAACCCAGCGCAGTGCCAAACACCCTGTCGTGTGGGCTCGGGGGCTAGGTATCCTTTCCCCCCTGCATGCAAAACGAGACAAATATGTATTCCTTTGGGTTAAACGCCGCTGTCCTCTGTGCACACCCACTTCATTGGTAGCGCTGTACATTTGGCTCTACATTTGCTAGGCCTAGCATCACAGCCTCACCACATAGCTCCCGGAGATGAGGTATGAAGCGTTGGCCGCCTTGAACGCACCAATCTCCATTCCCATCAAGATGGTGTTGGTGCGGGGGCGGCTGAGGAAACGCCGGGAGCAGGCGGGCGGGTGGTAGGAAGAAGACTTGCTGCGGCGGTTCATATAAGCTTGTACTGCAGTTTTGGAGGCAAACCACTAGGCGAGGGGACATCGCCGCTTCATTGTGCCAGTTGTTGACCTTTTTCCTGAACAAACAGCTTGCTTGAGGTGTGGGTGCACGACACGCCATGGCCAACCCACACACGCACGTACCTAAGCCGCCGCCCCAACGCAGAGCACACGCAATCACCCACGCACATGCTCGACGCACATGCACTCTGAAAAATGAAGCTCGGTCCACAGCCTACCTCAACCCGGTCATCGCCATGTAGGGACCAAGAACGCATGCCGACACCGCCAGGACGTTGATGATGACGTCGAGCGCTCTTGGCGATGACGACGTCACCCCGTCGAGGGCAACGGGCTGTAGCCCGCCGTCGGCTGCAATGGATTCCAGCGGAGGCACCCACTGACCGTTCGGGCCCTGCGCAAGGCGAATACCGAAGGAGGAAGCGCCAACCACCACGAAGTTTAGCGGCGCGGCAGCGGCGTCCAACACGCATGGATGGCAGTAAGTAGCCGAGTGGTTTCAACGTGTACATGTCGTACGTGGAGACGTGTTAAGCCCACCTCAAAGGAGAAGCATGGCCGGGAGACACTTCCGAACAAGGACGAACAAGTACGATCGATGCTGGTGTGTGCTATCGCCACCGCGTGGCACATCTCTCAGACCGGACGTTACTGACATTGCTCCCGGGTAAATATTTTGATGGCTATAGAGATACACCAAGCCACGTACATATCCGACGGTGGATGCATATGATGTTGTGATGTGATTACCAAAGTACCATTGTTTACAACAGTAAAATATTAATGACTGACCTTAGCATTCCAACATATGACTCAAACGACAAGCGTCGGGAAGGGTGAAAGGCGCGAAGTTGTTCGTTGCCAGCGTTGTGTTGTGCAGCGTTTTCTTCCAAAATGTGTCCTGCCCAGGACACGTCGGATCACCTTGGCTCACACCAGCCAACGCACCTGGGCGATTCTGACGTAATCCACAAGCATCTCCGGGGGCACTGAGGGCGAATGAAGGGCCCTTGTAGAGGCCGACGAGGGATCCTCTTCTTCTGCGCTGTCAACATCGCCAACATCATCACCGCCACCAACTGCTACCCCCATCTCAAGGTGAAACGCTTTGTTGAAGGGGGCCGGGAAATCGCCGGGGTGCTTCGCAAACCAGGCGCTCTTCTTACAGTACTGACGGCCATCCACATACCTTGTCGATAGGAGCGATTCGTGGGTGAGAGGTGACATTGGGCAACAACCTTCACGACCGGTAGTAACATTAACTGGAGAAAGGACTCGACGAACGGGCAACTACCAAAATCAAGTATGTCTTGGTTGAGCACTTCGTGCAGACCAACAGTTGGATGGATGGATGTTTTTTAGCGTTTCATGGAAGGTGCCAGGTGGACTCCATTAGCCCGGTCTGGTGCTCTCGCCAAAAAAAATGAACCGACCCGTGAAAATCGATGCCTTCACGGTGGATCTGTGAAGATTGCTGTCCTTCCGAGGAGCTTACGCTCGTAAGAATATCTCTGCAGGTGTTCTGCCGGCCGCGTCAACCGTTGCGTTAGCCTGGAAGGCAAAACCTTCACACCCACAGAAACGCTTGCTGATCGCGTCCGGAAAACACTGACGTATTGTGAGCCAGTTAGAGCGGTTGATGCTAATACTACGGGAACACACACGCGCCCCACACTGAAAAACGAGATTGTTCGCCCCAACACCATCGATAACTTTGAACTTTTGCGGTAGTGCTTGTTCTTGAAAAAAGAACCAAGATTCCTGACTCACCAGCGAAATTCTCGTTCTTCCCATTCTAACGCGTACACGTGGAAGCCGTCGCTCCAGTCGACGCCGTGCTCTGCGGGCAAGCTGCAACCACCGCCTTTGTCGGGCCAAGAGCTCGAGCTGGTGCAACCCCACCTATCCTCCTCGTAGCCTCCGAAGCCCAGGGAGGCAGTGATGTCGGGTCCGGAGCTATCAGCCGCGTGGTATTCCCTTGCCCGAATCTAACCGTGTGTTGCCGTGTCAGTAGACAGGGGGAAGGGGAGGCGGGGACCGCCGGGGCAGTGAGAATCAATTCATTTAATCTTTAGACAACTTTAGATGAGCTGCCGGAGGAAAAAATATTGGCAGACGTCTGCCGGTAGAGACACCTACAATTGTAGACGTACGAGGAAGCGTTTGAGGACGTTGCCCTGAAGGAGGTTTACAACTCTTGTGGGACTCGGAACAACGAGCACGGGTTTGCGACCGCCCCGGTGCATGCGCCTGTTTGTACAGATTGTCCTGCGCTGCAAGAAGCGCGTACCCTCTGGAAGAAACGTGTTGCCGGTTGTCTTCAGATCAAGAGTGCTGCTTCATCCCCCAGCATTCACTGAGAGGGAAATAGTAGCCGTGCTCACCTCGGCAATGGCGACGCGAGCGCAGGGTGTATGGCCGACAGTGCCCGCGTCGGACGGCATGAGCCAGAAGCCCGATGAACCTCTGGAGGAGACCTTTGCACTTATCTCTACCCTTCCATGAACGAAGTTTGCAGAGCGTGCAGTGCCGATTCTGCCGCGCGGTGGGGGTTTCGAGGGTCCTGACCCCACCACCACGTCGGCACCGTTGCCCTTGCCTCTCGAATTTTGGCGTGAGGAAGCAGCGGCGACTACCATGACGAGGTAGTCGTCAGCGCCGATATAGGCTTCGAGATGTGGGTCGGAGGACGAACGCATTCGGTAATGACTTTCTGTTGCACTAGTGTTGTTGTCGCTTTGGTCCCGGCGAACGCCGCTCTCGATAGTAACTGAGTCATTCTCCTCTTCAGTAGAACCTGGAAATTCCCATTTGTCCACGTCCACGTCCTGTTCGAGGATGCAGCACGACAGTGTTCCAGAGGGTAATACAACCCGGTGAGCTCCATCTTCTCCGAAATTAATTGTTCTGTATGGTTGTGTGTACGTTGTGCAGTTCGCAGATCAGGCCTCTTCCCAATGTTTACGATGCGAAGCCACACAGGCCAAGGGCTGGCTTCGAGGACCCTACAAGAGTTCAACAAGTGGGATTGTGGGCCAAGTCCAGCAAGTGGTTGAACCAGCACTCTTAGATAGATAACGTTTCCTAGGGTTATCGTAAGGAAGAAAAGTTCCGAGTTTACATTCCTAGACCAAACGTCCTGTGTGGGCAGTTGCGATCACAGAATATTCGTGCATCTTGTCGATCAGGCGGTGCAGCAGGTCCCGTGAGATACGGCGGTGTACAGAAGACATTCTCTACGTGAATTTCTGTAGGCTCTAGGCTACTGTCTTTGTCGCCATCCTCATGCCTGCTAGGTCTACATACTAGACGCACGTGAACCCCACAGAACAAAATAACGCTGTGAGCACAAACAACGCTGCTATGCACTCTGCGTGTTCTCTTAAATTGAATGGGATAAGAGTTGATCAACGGCGGCAGGGACGTCTCACCTTTCCTTGGAACTCGTCGACCCAGACTGTCGTCCAAGATGCAGTCGAGGCAGACGCCGCCGAAACCAACACCACAGATGACAACCAACACGTTTTTAAGTAGGCCAGGAGAAGCAGCATCGTCGTTGTCGACACCCACTTACTTATCATATTTTCAAAGCGCACCTCAAACCGACCAAATTACACCGGTACCGGGCCCAATTCAGGCAGACATATCACGGGTGGAGAATACCTGTACCTGCTAACAACACAAATGTGCTCTCCCTGAGAAATCATTCAGGGTGGTGTGCAGTGTTGTCGACACGCACACCTTCGACGCCCAATGCACAAGCGGAAATGCCGGTCAACTTCGGAGCGTACCATCAACGAACATGGACGGTTGGCGCGCCATCGCCGGTTCCACGCGGAATACTCGAAACGGCACAAGACAACGCCATGAAAAATAGAGCAACTCCTTGAACCCCACTCCCTGTCTCCCTTTGTTGGACCGATAACACGATCAGCGCTACGCGTTGTACTTGCGCCCGAACATGGAGGGGTCCATCGAAGAGGAAGAGTTGACCGCCCAGCGTGATGCAGCTGTATCTCTATGTAAAGACCTACAGGAGAAGGTGCGATCCCTGTAGAATGATTGCGAAGACAACGGAAGAATAATACGATAGCAGACACATTACACATAGCTGCACATAGCATATGGAGGCTCCGCATTGTGCGAGGCACACAGATGGGAATTCAGCATATGCCACAGCAGTAAACCCGTTGGCTAATTACTGTGCACCCGGGTTGCAAGGGGCTCCGTACACCCCATTTTTCTTTTTTTTGTTCTCGACCAATGACTCACGGAACCCCTCGCAGCTGGCCTTCACCATAGCGACCAACCGAAGTTTCTCAATAGCTCCGGCTGTAGTTGCGATCCAAAATTAGGGCAGCCCTCTATAGAATCGTCGTGGACACCTCTAAAGTATAGTGGCGTTGAAAAGGTGAAAGGGATCGCACCCGCGACGGACCTCGGAGCGTAAAGTCCGCCAGAGGGGTGGTATCTTCCGTAGAATCTTGCCTACCTGTCCTGCGTCTCCCTGCAACGAGAGAGGGATTAGGGCTGCGTGGAGAGATCTCTGAGGCGAAACGGAGGAAGGCACTGCCGTGCACAACCCACCCAAGGTATGAGCACTTCATGGATCAGAAACATGGGCGAAAATCACTGATAATCGGGCGAATCCAGAGACAAGATCATGTGCGGCACGAACCACCCGGGTGCAGCGGCAGCTATAGCTCAGCAGCAG